ATATAAGCCCTTTACAATGTCTTAAATGTGGCTGAAACCTTCCAAAATAATACCTCTTTAGGTGAAATACTATTTTGGAATATTCCCCTTTTCAGTTGTGTGCGCCTGCTGTGAGCACATGAGGGCTTGCCTGGGGCTGGAGTCAGAGTTGGGCTTAAACCCTGCACTCCCTGCCAGACCACAGGGGCCATTACTAGAATCTAGCCCTCCACTCCCAATCCCCTGGACCTTTCTACTCAGAGGGGAAGAGGAGAGGAAGGATTTGGGACCTCTCCCCCTTTCCCCTCTCCACTTGGCTTCCCCCCTTCTTTTTCTCTCTGTGTGAGGGAAGAGGAGTGAGCTGAGAGCAGAGACTCAGGTTGCTGCAGCCTGTCTAGCTAGCACCTCTTGGTTGCCACTAGAGGAGGCTGCAGTATTGAAATGCCCCAGTCAGAGCAGCACAAGGGGGTAAATATGCCCACTGGCTGAAACATTTTCTTTGTGAAATGTTACCAGGTATATTTCACTTGGAAATGTTTCAATGGCTATGTCTGGCTACACCCCATGTTACTTCATGTAGAGCCAGGTTGGGTATTTCTACACTGCGCAACATTGTGCTGCATAGACATGCCATCAGTGAAACTGCGCAAAGAAAAACTGCTTGAGTTACCAGTAAAGAATGAAAGGGGAAGGCCCAGGGACATGGATAGGATTTTTGTAGAGGCAGGCTCCCTGCACGTAGGAGCTGTTGTGTGGAGGCAGCTGCTATACCACAGAGAAGCATGTCCTATAGGGCAGTGGTCTCCAAAGTGAGGGGTGTGCAAGACGATTCACTGGGGTGTGGGAAGAAAATATTAGAACTTCTATTTATATTTATATAAATATACATATATTGGGGGTGCGTGCTCAAAAATGTTTTACTGATAGGGGTGCACGATCAAAAAAGTTTGGAGACTACTGCTGTAGGGGAGGTATTAAACAGTTTCTGAACAAAGGGGAACCCAGAGCAATTGCCCTTCCTGGTATCTGTACCCCAGGAAAACTCTTTCCAGCAGCTAGCAGTGCTTAAACTCTACCTGACATACCCATTTGTCCTCTGTGGAAGGCACCCTGCACATTCCAGCCCCAAGACCTTTCAAGTATGTTCTCCCTTCCCTTCCAACTCCTGTAGAGATTGTGGGACTGCTACACTGGGGAGATGGGGCATGAAATTTACTGCAGCCTCTGTTCCACTAGTGAGATGAGCAAAAGTGATATTCCCTAATGTGTGCAGACAGCCCTTGTGAGATGCTGCTGGGGGTACATCACACTTCCCTATGCTGGGGAAGAGAAGGCCCTCATTGCACTTGGGTTGTATGGAATGTAGAAAGGCCACAGCTGGGGGATGATCTCTTCAGCACTGATTTACTGTGTAAAAAGCAAACCTCTTTCCTGTCTGTCCTGAGCTAACGGCAGTGATTCCCCTGTGTTCCTGTGTAATGGTTTTAACGTTACTCACTGGAGACATTGGACTTTCTGGAGTTATTTAACCACTATGTTCAGTATTTTAGGGGTTGATGATAATTTAATATAAATTTAGCTTTTCTTAATCACTCTGCCTGGTGTTGAGTTGTGAATCATGTATGCTACCCACATTCTTTGAAGGAACAGCCTTGGTCTTTGTTTGCATGCTCAATAAGCATTTTGGGTGGGTGGACTCTGCTGACCATAAACTGACTATAACATGACTTCCACCAGTTGAAGCTTGAACTGGGGCCCAGGGTCAAAAAAGATCCAAGTACAGCTTTAAATGCAGCAAACTCACTGCCTTCTCCCTTCACTACTAGGTTAGCATGGCAGTAAAAGCAAGAGTAGCCTAATTCTGAAGGACATGGTGACCAAACTGATGTAAGCCCTGCTTTTTCCTAATGGAAAGGGGTAGTCCTGAGGAGATCAGAGCGGAGATGAAGAGGAGCAGAAGCTATATTCCATTCCTGAGTTCTTTGTCCATTTTTTTCTGGCACTTTTAAATAGCTCTAAATAACTACTAATGAATCTTTTAAATTGGGCAAAATAAGATGGGTAATGGATGAGATATTTAATCATGGTACTGCAAATACAAGGTAGGATTGGTGCTACCAGTGACTCTTTCTAGATTCTTCCTTATGAAGGTCTAAAATCTCTTTACAAAGGTTAATGAACTTTGCATCAGACCTGCCGTGGAAGTGCAGGATGCTACCACTATCCCTGCAGGAAATAATTTCTCTCTGTGCTTATGAAGTAAGCCAGGCAGAGAATAGAAGCAAGATGTGTTCTGACAGCTGGTTCCTCACTATAAACATTGACTTTTGAATATACTGGGGGAGGAGAACAGAGTGCTGAATAATTGAAACATGCTGCCGTTTCTTTTCATGATGATAGTTAGCAACCTGCCTTTTAAGCTAACCCCATTTTCCCATAATTGTAACTTTCCAAAAGCATCTGTGTTTGTGACTGAAGTCCTTCACTTTAGACTCTGCCCTGAGACTCCTTTTCCCTTAATCCCTTTAGCTGTTGAAAGCGAGCAGGGTGAAAAGGACACGTGTTGTGCCTGCATGACAGATTTTCTACACCAAATTAGTTCCAGCCTACACCAGTAAGGCTTTTAGGTGTGTAGGTATGGTCTGTTGTTTTACTGGGGAGGTTCCAGAGCTGCATAAATACATATAACACCTAATGCATATATTCAACTACATCAGCAAGAAGAGCCGAGTTCTCTTTTCTTGTGTGAACATTTCTGTGTTGTTAGTACCAAACAAATAGAATTTAACTAAACTAACCAAATATTATATTGTCTTTGAACAATAAGAAACCATAATATGAAAAGCTCACATAATGCTAGCTTGTCCTCTTGCATAGCATGCCTTTTTATAGTATTTAGCAGTCCTAATTACTAAATAATACACTACTACAATACACCTGTTGATGGCTGTGGCAGAACCTAAATTCACCACTGTTTAGCTTTAGTGAAAGCATGATTGCCAGAGTGAAATTTGGCCATGTACATTTACTAGAGAAATTAAGTTTAAGCAGGATACACATGATGGTTAAAATCCTAGTCTAAATACCTTCTAGATTTTTGTGTTTAATACAGTTTTTTTAAATTAGTAGTTTTCTATACTCCTATTCTAGACAAGATCCATACAATGCTTTCAATCAGGGAGTCTCATACAAGCTGTCAGGGCACCCTGGGGTGGCACTGGATGTAAGGAGATAAGTGTGGGCTCAGTCTATTCTCTGGATGCTGCCCACCTCCCACTGACCAGTCTCTCTGCAAGGCGGTTAGCATTGTAATAAATTAGTTTTTGCAATAGTGTGTTCCTCAATTCACGAAAGCTAGGATTCTATAGAAAGGTAGAAAACCAATGCTTTAAATGCTTGGATACCACAATGAGTGCACAGTAAACATCTAAATCTGTTGATTCTGCCATGTAAAATTTATAGAAAGCTTGTCACTGATATCTCAGCCCTGGAAAGTAAATACAGAAGTCTTAATCCTGGCACAATCAGCAAAACCAAGTCACGTTCTGGTAAAAAAGTGAATTGAAAAGACCAGATTTTTGCTTTTATTTGCACCTGCACCAAAGTTAGGGAATCTTTTTTTTTAGGTCCAGTGTCTTGATGAAGTTGGTATGGAAGTTCCATCTCTGGCAGGTGAGTCTTCCTCATGTGACTGATTAATTTTAATAGTTTGACTGAGTCCTCTTCCCTGTCTACTGAGCCTTCAGGCCACTGGGAGCACCTAGCTAATTTCATACCACCCAAATTGAGCAAGTCAGCAAACTGCTGGCAGCTGTATTTGCATAAGACTTGTGAGAGTGGTTTAGATGGGTGAGTCTCAACCAGGGTGAAGGCAGGGTAGATCTGACCAAGACAGACTGCGAACACAATATTTCCTGGGCTGGAGCTCAGGTCATCAGATGCTCTCTTCATACTCTGCTTTCAGCATATCCTTTCCTGGCATCTGATGAAGTGCGCATCAGCTCAGAAAGCTTGTACTTTCTCTGTGTATCATATATCCAGGGGTGGATTGGGGGGAGGTGCACTAGCGCACTTGCATCCACCCACCAATCCTGCTCCACCACTTTAAACCAACTGCCTGGCAGTAGCAGCAGCAAATCTAGTCAGACAGTGCTGAGGTAGCTTCTTGACTTCCTGGCTCTTTCTAATACACCTGATCCCTTCTCAGCTCTTTATTCCACAGTTGTTAATGACACTGTCTTCCTTTTAATGGCTCTGATGTTCCTCCCATCAATCAGTTTGTTTTGCAACTCTGCTGAGTGTTAGGAGCTTCATTCCCACAGCAGCCAATTCATAGCCCTGCAGATTTGTTTGTAAACTCATTCTGATGAAGTTATATTTGGTTTTACTTCAATCCTAAACTGAATAATCCAGCTCTGGCCCTCTAGTTTATAAAGGAACCTTCCTATTTTTATCTAGAGAAAAATGTGTTATATTTTATGTGCTGATGCCCCTCAATCTGTACCCTCCCTTTCAAAATCCTACATCCACCCATGCTTGTATCTCTAGATGTATCACTACCCACCAAACTTTGTGCACACGCTCTAATCTAGTTCATCTAAGAGGGGCCCTATCTCACATTCAAACTAAAGCTGGATCGAACCCAGGTATCAAGTTACTGCACACTTTCAAGCACTACTTTGGAGCTGGTTGCATATGTTCATGGTGTGATCATCCCTTCACAAGCACGCCTGGCCTACACTTACTGTGTGATTCAACATTGTTGCATACATGTAACATGGGGCAGGGGCCTAAGGCAGCCCAGGCCCCTCTGAAGCAAGCGCCGGTCCGAGCCATACCATCCTCCCTAGAGGCTGGCAAGCTGTAGGCCCACACCCCGAGTCCCACCTCTACTGCCTTGACCCGGAGACCTCCTCCACCTGCCTCTTTAAGAGCACAGCTCAGTGCGTGGCACAAGCCGCGTTCAAACCGCCCAATGAGGCGGCGGGGCCGAGGCCGGCGGCGGCCAATGAGCGCTCAGGACACTGCGAGGTGCGGGCGGGGTAGTGATTTCAAACCCTGTTGCTGAGGAGGCTCCCGGCTGCCCGTGCCCGACCCAGCCGGGCCTAGGTGAGCGCCGCTACCTGCCCTGGTCCGCCAGCCGGCCCGGCCTGTCCGCTCCCGCCTGCCGGGGCCCGGTTGGAGCGGAGCGGGGCGGGGTGGGGCGGGGCGTGGCGACGCGACCCCTGGGGCTTCCCCGGTGCCGTCCGCCGCGTGTGGCCCCTCCCCCCTCGCCGGGCGGCGGGTAGGGGTAGGGTCACGGGTGGGGCAGAGTTTCGGTGTCGCGGCGGCCTGTGGGTGCCCCAGGATTGGCCGGGCCGCTCTTCCCGGGCTGGGGCCTTGCGGCTCGGTGGCGGCTGCCTCTGCGTGGTGCGTGTCCTAGTCTCCGGCGGGACGCGGGGCCGTCGGGCTTCTGGGCAGCGGTGTCCTGCCGCTTGCCCGCGGCTGCTCCTCGGCTGCAGCCTACGTGCGAGGGACAGGACTCCGCGAGGCGTTCAGCCGGGCTGCCGGCTGTCCGGGGCCTGTCTCTTCTGCCTCGGAGCCACAAGCTTTTTTCTGCCCCTGTGCAAGCCCCTGCTGGAGCAGTTTGATTCCAGCTGCCTGGGGGTGGTTCTGTTTCTTTGGTTAAGAGGCAGCTGTCGTCGTGGGCGCTAAACTTCAGGGCTGCATAGAGAATCCGGGAAAACAGGAGTGGGAAGGGACCCAAGGAGGCTGTCTAGCTTTGTGCAGTGGCTTTCAATCTGTGGTCCGTGGATCTCTGGGGGTCTGCAGAATGTGTCTAAGGGGTGTGTGAAAGATGATTGTGATCCACCAAAAATACGCAAATACCCACGCGTACAATTCAGAGAGGGCTGCACCTCCACTCCAAATTCTTTAGAAGTCTGCAAAATGAAAAAAGGCTGAAAACCACTTATCTGGTCCAACCCCTTGCACAAAGCAGGGCTCTCCCCACCGATAATCATTTCAGCCAACTCTGTCTCCCTGGGTCTTAAAAACCTCTGAGGACGGAGATTCCACATCCTCTCTGGGTAAATGATTCCAGTGCTTTATTACCCACCTAGTGAGAGTTTCTCTTCATATCTAACCTTAGCTTCCCTTGCTTCAACCTGAGATCATTGGTCCTGTATATTGCATAACTCTTCCAGTTCTCATTTGCAAAAGGAATAGAGCCATTTGTTTTGTTGTTGGACTGTCTGCAGTGAGAGGGTTTTGCTCTACTGTGCTGGCAGAGTGATGCCATATGAGCTCTGAGTTTACACAGTCTGTCTCTCTGCAGGCCATGGACCCTCAAAGATGCATATTTAGAAAGATGCTGGCAGGTAACCTCTAGCCAATATTTAAACCTAAAAAAAATGGTTACCAAATTTAATATGGGTAGAGGTGTATTTGTAATATAATCATGAAATACAAGTGATGAAACCAAGAAGATGGCAGTCAAGTGAGTAAGCACTGTCCTTGTAGGTATTGACTTCTCAACATTCAATGCTAGATCAGCTGAACTTGTCAGAAGTTGACCTAATTCTGTCGGTCTCTTTCCCAAGTTTGGCCTTGTTCTGGTCTCCTATGCTGCAAGGATAAGGAAACTTCCGTTTTGAAAACTTGCACGTATTTTCCTTGACCTGCAACTTTTGTTCTGAAAAAAAGCAATTGTTACATTAAAGCATACTGAGCTAAATACTAGCCAGGATAGTAACCTGTGCTTCTACCATGGCTCTCAACAGAAGCAACTAAACTTGGAGTTAAAAAATGTAGTGAATAATTCTCAGGAAGCTCAGAAAACTAGAGAGGGTGTGTGTGCATGTGAGTGAGCTCTGCATGCAGTTAAAAGACCTAGATTGTTACTGAAGGGTGGAAAATTGGTGAAACTGGCCAAATTATCTTAAACATTCCTCTAGAGATGTAAGGTGTCCTATATTTCTTTATGTATTAGAACCAAATACATGCATTGTAAAACATAATTCTTTATTTTTTTACATGCATGTTTCTCTTCTGGATTGTGATTTAAGGCATTTCCATGCTAATGTTTGCCCTCTTTCTGTTATGATCTAACAACCTAAACTTTACGTATATGAAAAGATGCTAGTTGCATGTCTAATGACCCTTGACCTAAAAGCTGTCAAATAAAAGCATGAACCCCTATTTTGCTGAGCAACATCTGGAATTTGGGCCCTTTACAAAGAACAGAGGGGAAAATACTGGAATTTGAGTATCTGATGGAGAATAATTATAATTCTCTCTAGTTTGTTAACAGTCTAACTTGTAAGCTTCCATGGTGAGCAACTAGAACGATCCCAAGCAGCATATCCATATATATGGGTAACATTAAGGCACTCAAAGTTATGATGCTGCCAAAAAAGAAACTCTTGTACAGAAAGTTACAATATGCATTTGGTTCCTTCACCCCTTCTCCCCCCTTCCCTTTGACTTTATTATAGGTTCAGGATAACTTGGTTATTTTTTATTCCGAATTTCCTGTATTCCTGTCTTTAAAAACCTCTAATGTTACATTCAGACCACTGACGTACTACGACTTGGTTTATGGATTTTGTGCAAAGTTGGGAAGGAACTGAATGGATGATCTCAGTCTGTACTAGCCTTGTTATTTTTGTTTTGGCATCAGCTTAACTATTGCAGGTGCCTTACAGTATAGAACAGCCAAGTGTGAGCCTCCCCTGTGACTCTGAGGAAGGGAGAAGCAGTCTAAAATGTGCTGCAGGAAAACCTGGTAGATCTACAACTAAATTAAACCTTGGCTGTACCATGTGGACAATGTTGTTGTTTTGGGCATCTGTCCAACCTAAGGAGACTCTGGAGCTGAGTTATTGCAGATCACTTGGGGCTGGGCATCTATGCTTTGAAGCAAGGTGGCATAGAAACAATTACTTAAGTAGCTTGGTTACAGCAACTTCCAAACATTCAATAGAGGCAGCTGTTGTGCACTTCAGAAATCTGGGCCATGAACAGAGTTTGTGCCAGTGCCCAGAGCCAAACCCCTTTCTTCAGGCTATCTGAGCAGAAGGCTGGAGGGGCACAGTCTGGCATAATGTATGGATACTTTCATTATACCAGGCTCGGGTGCAGATGATCTTCATTCTAGAATGGGTGCATTGATCTCAAACAACAAAGGAAGTGGCATTGCCAGTGACGGGTTACAACTTCAAGTGTTTTTTGGAACCTGCTCTGTTATTTAGGCTTTTGGTTTACACTCCTAGCCTAAGATCCTATCATTTCAGCTCTTCGCTGCCACCCTTGATCCCTCCCCAGTGCTGAGCTGTAATTCTAAATTTCATTAAATGGCCTTGGTTATTGCATGCCACCCAACTTGGGGAGGGGAATGACCCATCTGTAACCATTGTACACAAACGTTGAAAAACTTGCTCATGGCTTTTAGCTATATGTTTTTGGGTGGGAGCTCCGGCTAAAAACCTGTGATGGGGTATTGACGTTTGAGGCTCTGATTTCATGAATTCCTCCCCCCAGCCAGCACCCGCCATGCACCATGGTGTTGGCTCTTGCTGCTCCACGGAGTGGCTTCATAGCCAGCAGCGTGGAGGAGCCTGTGGCCTGTCAAGCGGGCCGGGCCGATCGCTGGGGGCCCACGCCCTCTCCCACGGGAGGGAGCCAGGCGCGGCTGTGCAGCTCTCAAGGGAGGCAGCAGCCAAGGCCCCGCGGGGGCGACGCCGGCTCGGTGGGGTGGCAGGGAGGGGCTGGAGCTTGGGCAAGGGCGCGGGGCGGTGAAATGCCGGGACGAGGGGGGCCCGATCGCCTTTGTCTGGCACATGGAGGGGGTTCCTCTTCTCCTCCTCCCTTCCCTCCCAGGTATGGCGGGAGGCGGGGGCAGGCGGCGCCGGCTGCAGCGCGCTGCGCCCCGCCCCGCCCCGGAGGAGGCGCCTCCTTCCCAGCCGGGCTCAGAAATGCGGCTCCGCGTCCGCTGCTGCCGCTAAGCCGGGCCGGGCCACGCCGCGGCTGTCGGCGGGTGAGTGCCC